GAGGGTCCCCGCCGGGGTGAGGGTCCCCGCCGGAGTGAGGGTCCCCGCCGGAGTGAGGGGACCCACCGGGGTGAGGGGACCCACCGGGGTGAGGGGCCCCGCCGGGGTGAGGGTCCCCGCTGGAGTGAGGGTCCCCGCCGGGGTGAGGGGACCCACCGGGGTGAGGGTCCCCGCTGGGGTGAGGGTCCCCGCCGGGGTGAGGGTCCCCGCTGGGGTGAGGGTCCCCGCCGGGGTGAGGGGCCCCGCCGGGGTGAGGGTCCCCGCCGGAGTGAGGGTCCCCGCCGGGGTGAGGGCCCCCGCCATGACGGGCGGTCCCGCACGGCCCCCGCCACACGCTCCACACCCAAAGCCTCCCCGCGCGCAGCCCCAGCCCCAACACAGCCGCCGCCAGCACCGGGAGCCCCCGGCCGCCCGCCCCGCTCCGCACCCGGCGGGAAGTATCGCAGCAGGAGCCGCCGCGGCTCCATCGCCATCGCCGCCGCCGCCCCGCGCGTCTCCCGCCGCCATGGCAACGGCGCGGCCGCGCATGCGCAGCTCCGGCCGCGGGCTGAGGGAGCCGGGCCGCCATGGCGGTGCCGCTCTCTGTGGAATCGCGGCCGGGCTGTGTGTGGGTCCGCGTTACCGCCCGCTGCTGGCACTGCATAATCCGTACAGAGCTGCGAGGGCTTCTGGGTTGTGCCACAGAGAGGAAAGAAACGGATGCAGGAAGGAGTGCACTAAAAAATACATAAAATTCGGAGTGCTAAGGAGCCACCAGTAACGGCGTAGCAAATGCGTAAAAGCTATTTGGAAAGGGAATAGTCACTAAGGAAAGCTGGCAAAGATTAATTATCAAAAAAACCCCAAAACCTAGATTAGCTTAATTTTTTTAAGAGGTACGTAGGACTGAAACACAAGTATGAAAATGCAGTTTAGAATCACAGAATGATTAAGGGTGGAAAAGGCCTTACAGTGGAGACCAACCATTAACCCAGCACCAYTCCAAACGTGTCCCCAAGGGCCACACGCCTTTAGAACACTGCCAGGAAAGGTGATCCCTCCAATTCCCTGGGCAGTTCGAGATAGCCAGTCTAAACCTCCCCTGGCACAATTTGAGGCCATTTCCTTCCATGCTGTCCCTTGTCACCCGGGAGAAAAGACCGACCCTCGCTACACGCTCTTTTCAGGGAGCTGTGGAAGTGCTAAATCTCCTTTCCCCCAGCTCTCCCAAATGCTCCTCATTGGGCTGGAGCTTCAGACCCTGCACCCGTTTCACTGCCTTTCTTTGGATTTTGATTTCATCAAAAAGAGAAGAAAAAAAATATAATTGAAAATTAATAACCAACATGGGATTATTAAAAGATAATGATTCACAGCACTAAAAATTTTAGTCAGGCGTTATGCTGAAATCGCGGTAGAGCATCAATAGGGGGAAGCAGTAAACACATTTTCATTTGGCCGATCTCATAGCCCACGTTGTTGACAATGGATCAATAAAAGACAGTCCCACTCAGTGTTTAATAATACGTGACTTTTCCAAAAACACCCATGTGGCTCCCTACAGCTTCACTTTGAAGACTAGTCCTTTGGTTTTTTGAAAGCCAGGAAATAAAATACAATGGCCAGTTCCAGACTTCAGGACACGCTGGGGGACAAAGTGGTCTCTGAGTTTTTCATTCCCATTTGTTTGTTTAAAGTCTTTTGTCTTGTGTGTGGAGAGTCTTGAGGCAGATAAGAAATATTTTTATTGAAAATAATCCAAACAGCTTTCCCACTGAATTGACTTACTTGGACCAACCCAATTCAAAAATAACTTTTTGAGCAATCCCAAATCTTGGTATTCTCCAGTTTCTTAAGAACTTTTTGGTTTTGTTTAGCATAATATGGATTTATCCAGAATATAAATACTTTTCTGTTCTTTTAACTTAAATGCCACAGACTAACAACCATAGCATAGCATACCTTAAAACTTAATTTTTTCATCATAAAAACAGATTCACGCAGCTTTTCTGGTACCTTCAGTATAACTTAACACCAACTGTAAGTACTATATTTATTTTTAAAGTAATATTTAAACAAAACAGTCAAACGGGGGAAAGGGAAGTGGAAAGACTGCAAAGCTCCATGATATCAGTACCTGTTGGCTCAGCACGTTTTCCCCTCAGTTTCTTGCTCTAAATCTTCATCCGAACACAGACACCTCACAATTTGTCATTATGTGGGATTAAGATGCAATAATGRCTCTGGAAGATGATAAATCAGGCCTCAACTTTCACCACTTTCCTTGCTTCTGTCAGCATAACGTTTGGGAGCAGAGGAGTCACGGYAGAAGTGAGTCCCTCTGTGCCTGTGCCTGCTCTCCAGGCTGACCCAGAGAGGCACTGCTGTGATGGCCTTGTTTGCTCTAGTCCTGTACAGTAACTGGAAAAAACTGCTGACAGCCTGAGAGGGGACMAGGAGCTAACGCTGAGCTGAGACAAAGCTTTTCCCACAATGCTCCCCAGCTTTTCCCAGCTATATACACAGTGACAAACAGTGCATCCTTCTGACAAAACAGAACCAGAGCTGTAGCACAGGTAGGAATACCTGAGGGGGCTTTAGGCAGAAAAGGTAAAAACTGTGGTGAGGGAGTGAATGGAAGAACTTSCTAATTGAAGACTAATTATGCAGGGATTCTGATGATACAGCAGACTGAGCTCATGTCCATACCATTAAACCTTAATTGTTAAAGAGAAAAGCAACTTTTCTTCAAGTTAATGAGAAGGAGCAAGTTAACAGAGAAGGAAAACTTTCAGACTGCTGGGGTAAATTTGTTGCTCTGATTTTTTTTTTTTGCTATCTAAACAGTGCATTCAGCCTCTGAGACATGAGAGGCCAGCTTCAAAGACGGCACACTGTAGGGAGTTCAAAATATCTACACTGGAAAGAAAAATTAAATGCTGAGACATTCAGGGCAAGATAATCAGCTTTTATGTACAGAGGTTAAAAGTATGGATTATGTCAGCTTGGAAAGATAATTTATCAGTTGGCTTCTGTGCATTTTTGCTTATGTCGGCAGTTTCCAGGAGTAGCAGGAAGTTAAGATGTTGTAAAACTAATCAATATGTGTTCAAGAGTCTTTGAAAGGCTGCAGGGTACACTTATCTACAGTGCTGAAGGCAACTGTGTCAGATAACGTAAAGCAAAATCAGTGCAGCTACAATAAGGAGCTTCCTTTTGAGAGCCTTGGGTTCTTCCTGCCAACACAGGTTCTGAAAAATCTTCTCTTGAGCCAATGTACCATCCTAAGGATGACAAGAAGCGTTTCTGACTCAAACATGCTTGCAGAGAAGAGTGGGGTTTAAAGTTGTATCATGACCCATTTGTTCTGAAGTAGGTCAGCCTGTGGTATGCTGAACTTGTTCTGAAAGGTCAGCCCAAGAGCAGTCTGAGTTTGGGAAAGATGTAGAAAGCCACTTCCTAGTTCTCTTATGTCAGTAGTTGGTACAATGAATTTTTACTAAGGGCAGTTTTTGTGTGTTGTCCTTTCTCATAATTTTCAGGTCTGTAAAATGTGGAACAGTTCTCTGATAGTTGCTTGTTTCTTCTTGGTGAATTAAATGGRTTTATATGACTTCTTTTTTCAAGTTTGTTTTATTCTGCCATATTCTGCTTCCTCTTGCCCAAACAGTTTCAACTATATGCATATACTTAGTGCATTGCTAGAGCTCCTTCTCACTTCTGCTCTGTTATTTCCAATGTTAATAATGACACCACAGCCATGAAAATGTTAAAACTATTTCTTACATAAGGGACATAATCTGGAATTTTGCTCTTTGCTAGGTAAGAGCTATTTTAGGAGAAATAGTTGACAGTGTGTTATAGAACAAAGTGTTCTCTTTCCCAAAGATTGTTTTTCCTCTTTGYATAGCTGCTTTCATTAATTTAAWTTTTTTTTAATTACTAGTTGCAATTGGCCAAGAAAGAATGTCACCTACAAATTTCTCTTCAGACGAGTAGTTGCATGTTCACCTACACTGAGATAATAACAAATGGCAGAAAGGAAGAGTAGTTCTCTTCCTTGTTCTCTTCCATTTCCCRTCTCTGACAAACTGCTTGCACATCCCATGCAGTCAGGGAATTCCTTGCCTCCATACTTGCTTCAGTCAACTTTTCACTTACCTGAAATAARTTCTTCCTCGTTGTCCACTTTTTATGAGTCTTTTCTCTTAACCTCGCCAAGCTTGTGAGTTGATTTGACAACAAAGAAATTCTCAGCTCAAAAGCCCCAATAAGATATATTTATCTTGTCACTTCTGAGAAGAACTCAGAAAGGCCTTTAACCTTTTTTTCCAGGCCCAGACTGTAGGGGGATGAAGACCTTTAGGTTGAGCTCCACATCCTCCCATGGAGACGGCAAAGCTGACGGTATCGGGTAATAACGCAAGTGTTCTGCGGTCAGTGAGTTTGCCAGATGCACCCAGTGAGGAAAAGAGAGGAGCTCTTCTACATATACATGATGCACAATTGAGTCAAGCCATGAGTCAGGAGGCAGCAAAAACTCCTGACATATAACAGGGTTTCTAGTAAGTCTACAATAGAATTGGAAAATACAAGTAGTGAAACCCACTTTTTTTTAGAAAACACAACTTCACTGAAGTAGAAGTGTGTTCATCTCACCATTGTTTTTAATTTAAAAAAAAAAAAAAGCTAGTTTAAGATTTTATTTTTAATACTTATAATTCCAAAACTTATTAAACATTTCATATAAGGAATTCTTTTCTCCATATCTATGTTAAAGCCAGGTTGATTGGGGTTGGATGASTCTTTGAGCAACCTGGCCTAGTGGAAGGTTGCCTAATTTTGTACTGATTTGGGGAATACTACAGAGTGAGCAAGTCTTTGAGATTATGCAAATCTCAGATATTTGAGATACTGCCAATCTCTGAAAGACATTTGGACCATTTATTCCTAGTCATAACAACATTAAACATTCAGCTTCTCACAGGAACACACAATCATCTTTTTGAACCAGCTCTATTAAATGTACATTTGGAAAAAAAAAAAAAAAGGAATCACTGTAATAGGACATATAACCTAAACATTATTATTTTTCAGATATGCACGACCAAATTTTACATGAGCATTCTGATTTGCATTCCCTAAATGCAGCTGTATAAMAATGCTTATTATACATGAGATACAATTCATAGGTGAGTGAACAACTGAAGTCACTCTGTACACTAACCACTCCACAGCTCTGATTTATCTGCCACATTAAATCCATCATTCTCAATTTCCCAGCTGCCTACTTTGTAAGTTTATAGAGTTACAATTGGCTTTGTGCCTGACCAATGATGTTGCAGGGATATTGAACTTCTAGTTTAATCTTGACACTGTAATTGACAATTTCACTGCAAATTGGACCACTTACTTGAACCCATCTCCACTGGCACAACTCTAATCAGATGGCTTGATCAGTCAGTGCATAGCTGTCTGCTCCCCCCAGGTCTGAGTCTGTAGTTCCTAACACACTTGTAGGGTTTCTCTGCCCTTGGTACCTAATGACGCTATCTGCCGTCACCTCCATATTTGTGTAAATGAGTTTTTGGTACAGAGTTTCTCTCGTTGCAAGTCTTGTTCCTTCTAAAACTATATATGCTTTGATTAAATTTTATYATCCAGAAGATCTAGGAAGAGTCAGGTACTTGTTGTACTAGACCATCCTACACATAACATCTCTGCCTACACATAAATGTTTTGCCTTGGCTTGTGGGCATGTGGCCAGGAGAGAAGACAGTTATGGTTTGAATCACTGAACCTAAAGTCTGGCTAAGAAATTAAAAATACTCTGTGCTCTGTTTTGAACACTTAGCACAATTGGGGATCCATTCATGTAGGCTTGTACCTATCCAATGTTTCATGTTTCCTGAGTTGCCTTATCTTGTAGCTATCTATTAAATGGATCCCATCAATCAGGTGTTCTTACCAGGAGGCCCAAGTGATGGCCCACACTGCTCCCACTTCCAGAAACTGATTTGCTTGTCTCACTCTCTCCTTCTTATCATGAGCACATCTCTTAGCCAAATGTCTAACAGAAAGCATATCTGATACCTTACAACAWCTACCCAGGTGTATCCTCTATGCACTGCAACACAGAGACAGCTGATGCCAGCCTGGGTGTGCTAAATCTTCTGTAAAGGCTGTGGGCTTTTATATCCATCTCCAGCAGTAAATTCGAGGAGAAAAAAAAAAAACCTATAAGCCAAGCAGAGAGAAAGAACACGCATATCTTCAGCCTGAGCTAGAACAGCCATTGTTTTCACTGAAAAAGGGGCTTGAGATTATAATTTCTGATAACTGGAAGCTGTGTTCACTGAAAGAAACATGGCAATAACCTTCCCRTTAAATTTCACTGCTACAGCTGCTACACAAAACCATGATTTGCATGTCAAAACATCATGCAACTAGCTTAGGTGTGAAAAGCTGTTGAGATGCTCTTCATCATTTGTTTTCCAGTGGTTTGTCTGCAATTTTGAGGGTTAGAAAAAATAATCACTGTGAAGGTTAGATTTCCAGGTAAATCAAAATACTTCAGGATGAATATCATGAGAACCTGTTATGCTGAAATGTATTGGATACAGAGATCATACAAACAAATTTAATCAAAGGGTTGGGTTTTTAAATTTATATGCATAGTAATTAATTATATATTTAATGAACATTAGTTAATTGCCTCTCATGAATATTAACAATTGGGAAGGAACCAGATTTAACAGATCCTGAGATACTTTGTATCTGTAGAACAGATTCCTATACAAAGTCAACTCCCACTTGCATCAGTTAAGGCTGACACCTCCAGAACAGAGCAACCACAAGATCATGGGAACATAAATCATAGTTTTCATTTCTGTGCTGTCATACAGCTGTAATTGCTTAGCACACTTCACATGCAAAACACGTTTGTTCTGAAGACTAAAAGGTTCTTTTATGATTCTCTTTTTGGCAGAGGATGTTGCCTGTAGCCTGGTATTTGGAGCAAAAATGCCAGGGTGTAACACAGCTGAACTCGGCATACAGAAAGCTTGCTACAATTGATCCATTTCTATTATTTTGATGTTTATCCAGCTGGGTGGATGCCATTAGAATCAAGTGACAGTGTCATAAGCTTAAAACCCTTTGTGATTCTTGAGTTTCTGGATTCAATTCTCAACTAAATTGCAGCTGAATTCCAGTTCATCAGAAGTGAAATTAGGCTGCACGTGGGCACGTTGGTATTGGCMATTGAAAAGAACTGGTCAATTATCAACAATCCCTGTGGAGGGGCTGAAAGTGTCACTGTCAAACACACCCAATAAAGTTTGGGTTTCAGATATACTTGAAAACTGCACACTGAAGGACAAGGCCATTCACCTGTTTGTATCCTCAGGAACGCATGAATGGCAATTTTTACACAGACTTTCCTAYCAGTAACATAACAACCTTATCAATATCTGTAATTGAGCAAAGAAACCAGTATTTTAAATATCTTTTTTCTTCCCAAGGGGTTAATTATAAAAAAAAAAAAAACCAACCAGAATCAGAGGAACTAAAAAACAAAATCACACAAGTCATGGCTCTGCGGATGAAGCATGTGGGGTTTTGTAGCAATGAAGCAATAGATGACCAGAGGAAGGGCAAGTTACAGCGGCAATWCAACACTTTTAGGAGGCCTGAACTGAGAGTAAAGAGCCACCCACAGAATTCCACACCTTGGTCTTCACTTCCTTATTTTGCTCCCTTGCTTTGAATTCACTAGCTTGGACTCCAGGCTTTCTGCACCAAGTTCTTTACAGCTCTGGCTCCTAACACCTATTCCCAGGATAGGCTTGGGGAATCTCATCTTCCCACACTTTTGACACAAATCCATTCATCGTGTCTGTACCATTTTGTTGGTAGCTGATTTAGCCTGTGAACTATTTGAGCCCAAACGSGTGCAGGTATGAGACAGAGCTCTGCAGTTCTGCCCAGAAGGGAGGGGAATCCCCAAAGATTAAGCTGGGTGATTACTCCTCCCTGGAGAATACATTATGTTCTCAGTGTCAGGAATCCACCTTAAGGAAATTACAGCTAATTAATTTTCCTTCTTCAGAGCTCCATTCACAGAGAACTGACAATTTSCAGATTTGCAGAGCCATGGGCAGATTTTTTGTAAGTTCTAGCAAACCAGAAAATGACATCCTTACACTCATAAGCACCATCTGAAAACTTCAATATCTCTCATCTCTGCTCTCAAATGCAGCAAAAATACTTTGCATTTAMGTTTAAATTAAATTAAAATTAATGTTTGTATCTCTATGACTAACAGGTACTTAAAGCCAAGRTGTAAATTTATCCATAAGACTCTGGTGCAGACAGTGAGAGGACTACACCTGCATATCCTACACAGTCACAYCCCTGAAGTCCCCGTGGGTCACGTAACAGTACATAAAAAGCTGAGCACTCTTCCCCATTGAACCTGCACCAATTTCTTCCATAAAGACTCATTACTTTTATCAGATATCACTGACCTCCATCAGGAAAATCTCGTTATGCTGGAAGCCATAGGATACCATAGGCAAATGCAGAAAGCAGAGGAAAGCCCTTAAAGTTGAGAGCAGATAATGTTACCATAATCAGTCCTCCTGAGGGGACAAGCTAGAAGCTCACCCAGTAACAGTGGGTGAGGTTCCTCCTGAATAAATAGGGGAACGGGCAAAAGGAATTCTCTCAAGTCTGATTAATATGAAGCTGAGCTGAGAACAGGTCTTCATGCTAAAGAAAAGCTTGATATATTGCAGCTGTGTGGGGGTAAGGAGGGGATTTATATCCTATGGAGGGCATAGCTWCCCCTAGGGCGAGCAAAGCCAGCACGGGGGAAAGTGGCTTTAACAGGTGTCAGCACACCCATGTAATTGTTTCAGCTGGAGGCTCATAACAAAGGAATTCATTTCAAGGGCAACTCACATTTTGAATTAAAAAGAAATAAACATCACATAGAGAGTGACAATTTTAACATTTATTTTTTTTTTAACGCCATAATTTCCTTTTTTTTTTCTACAAATATACTTCATTTAATAATAGTTGAAGAAGTACTGTAATGCTAACTGCACCTTAAAGGAAACATTTTGGCACAAGGCAATAACAAAATAAACAAAATAAATAACCTTCTTTATACATGCTGAAAAAAAACCAAAAATAACATGCAATAAACTTAATAAAATTCACTTTTCAACTTATTTAGCCTAAAGTATTCCTTGCTAAACAGTGCTCATCATATCAGTAACACACACATATAAGTAACAATAAAAGCTTTAACAACATGCTTATTTCAAGCAAAACAGTGCAATATGAATCAATTTGAGACGTTCAGTGGTTCCGAAGAAGCTGGAGTTGGAGGTGAGTGCACAACAGTGTACAAACAATCTCAGCCATGAGCTTAAACCTCAAGGTGCTTCAGCCATTCTGTTACTGCTTAGTTCCTTGCTGGAAACTCTTTCAGGCTGACATCTTCCTGAGCCTGTGGCTGTCAAAAGGAAGAGAGAGCACACATAAATAATTGCCTCAGCCATRGATCAGCTATCGTTTTTTCTTCTTCCCTGAGAGAACAGCTCAGGTGGAAAAGGGGATGTGTGACATGACTGTCCCTGGGAAGACTCTAGAGAGGAGTAGCTAAGTCTGACAGGAGATGAAAAGACAGATGTGTTCRCCCATGGTCAAAAGTGGCATTCAGGAGACATCAGGAACAGGCTTTCATACATGCTCTGTTTTCATCAGCCTGGTGWAATTTAGAAGATTAGATTCCTACCTCAGAAAAAGAAGATGTTTCTTCACCCAGCCTTCCTTAGGATTCACACAGGCGTTCAGCCCACTGGAGGTATGAAAACTGGAAAAGAAATAATGATAAATAAATCAGTAAGTCTTTAGAAATCTCTGCCAGTAATTGTTGTGGAGAGTACAGTTAGTCTATGTAATGACCAATTGCAACTGATTTTGTAAATGACAGCTGGACATGGGATGCTCCAAACTCCTCCAATATTTTGAACAAAAAGAAGTTTACATGTAACAGCTACCTTTGCCTCAGGGATCATTTTCTGCACCGTAAAATTGTGTTAAATTTATTTGATCTATTGAGGCAAAGACCTTTGCTGGATGCCAGAAATAATTTGTAACATTAAGAAGAATAACTGCTGTCAAGCTAAGATGACAGAAAAACATTTAGGCCAAAAYTTTGTGGAAAAAGAAATCTAATGCATAAAAGAAGTCTTGTCACTTATGTGTCTGTTCACAGTTTTGGCAAGAGAGCACTCTGTGTTGGCCAGAGTGGCCCTTAGCTGGAGACAAAGCATGTCTTTGTTTGCACAGCCGATTCCTGAAGAGTTCAGTTAATTATTTACATTGTATGACTGTCCCGTGAGTAAGCAGTTCCTATCAACTCAAGGTTGTGTGTTTTGTTTACAGGTGTAATAAATACAATTCAGTTAATTTAACTTTTTGAAAAGGCAAGAAAATTCATGCTTATAACATCCAAATAACATTATATTATAACATCCAAATCATTGTTTCTGCCCAAACAGACATCCTAAGGTTAAYGCATGCTAGAAAAACCAGAGGAAATTCAGAAAGTAACTTACATGATGGCAGGGATGTCGCAGACCTCACTGGAGAGCTGTTCAGTGTAACCCTTCAGGGCCCACCGAGGCAGGCGCACTTTGGTGTAAGACAGGCAGCAATCCTGGTTGCTTTGTGCTGGAGTGAAGGAAAATAACAAAGTAAAGAAACCCCATTTGCCCCACACTGTCTAAGGAGCTCACTGTTCAACTCCACATCCTGCTCCCTCCTGACAGAAGAGGAGGACGAGGCAGCACACTTTGCTMGAACCATTCCCTTCCGGCTCAGCCTCATCCCGCTGCCAGCTGTGAGCAGCACCGGGAGCCCTTCCCGGGCAGARCGCCGAGTTCACTCACCTTGCGAGGTGCCGCACAGGAGCAGCACCAGCAGCCCCAGCAGGGAAAGCAGGACCATGCTCTTGCTGCTGCAGCCAGTCATTCCCTCTCCACAAACAGGCAGTGCTCTGCTGAGTGTCTGGCTGGCTGCTGCCTGCTTGTCCTGGCACACCTGCACCTGCTTATAAAGGGGTGGCACRAGCCACGGGAATTCACAGGGCGGGTTCCACTGGCATCAGCGGGTTTCCCCACAGCAAATTCCATTGTGCCTCATTTGGCCCCAGCACTCCTTCCTGGTACTATAACCAGAGATAACAGTGTGCTGGGGAATATTTTTTTTTAAGTAGCTTAAAAGGTTCGGTCTAAAAGAAAAGGAAATAAAAGGCTGTGAGGTAATGGTTCTGTGGGTGAAGCATGTGTAGTTTTAGGGGTAGGAGTGTGGGTTGTGAAATGAGGAAAGTCAAATGTAGGTAACTTAAAATGTTACGTACAGAAACTGAGTGTCTGCTGTGCTCTAGTTTAATAAACCTTCCCTGGGTGCAGAGGGAGGTGGGCTGAGCCAGCCAGATCCATTGTAGTATGGCAGGGTCACAAGCTGCACTGACACCAAAGCACTACATTAATATTTACAGGTTGGCCAACACAGTAACATCAGGCTTTCCAGATTACTGCTTTCAGAGCTCTAGACTGTAGTGTTGGGAAGGACACATGAGCAACACTGAGTATTCATGGAAATGGGTTCCTTTAGTTTCCTTAACCACATATTCCCTGCCATGACTTCCTGCCATTTTGTTACACATCTCAGCTATTTAATCTGAAAATGGGGTGAGCTTAAAACTAACTTGAAACAGTATTCTCCTCTGAATCTGTGCTGTCCAGAATGCATTAGTGCTGCTTCATAAGCAAGAGCTGTAATTTGTTGCTTTCCCAAACTGTACCGAGTATTGTGACTCYTGAACATTCAACAAAAATACACACAGCCTTAAAATTGCCTTGCTCAGCTCTAGAAAAACCACCAGGGAGCGGCTCTGTCATCACTCCAAGCACATTGTTTGAGCTGCTACCGAAGGATGGTACTTTCCCAGGCTGTTTAGAGATCAGTGTGAACCTGATGCGATGGCTGTGGCATGGCCAGGAGCTGCTGCCTGCTGCAGGTGCTTACAGAGTAACCTGAGCTTTAAGTGGCTTCTCTGAAGGTAGAGCTCAGGGACATGATCACAGTCAGTCCATAATTCCATGCCCTCTATCCTTCAYAGAGTGCCAGTACCTCTCTCAGAGGGTGAGTTCCTATTGTTTCTTTGTGGAAAGGTAAACAGCTCAAACTCTATAACAGACTGTTATTCAGAGAAATTAATTTCTCCATATAATAGCAAGAATTTCGGGAATTTCATATGGCTGTGGTACAAATAAGCAACCTTGCAATGTGCATGGCATCACATATGCTGAAGATGYTTCTCTGCAGAGCCACRGCAACTGGCTAAAGGATGGGGAGGAGGMAACAAAAAACCCATGCCCTGATGTACACTGCTTTTTGTAACTTTCATGGATCATAGTGAAATGACACAAAAAGTTCAATGCTCTCAATATGCAGCTGTCTCTGCACTGCTTTAAAGCTATCTGTCAGCATTAGGCAATGCCTCAARCTAGCTAACTGGAATGGTAGTTTTTTCCTTTACAAACAGATTTCAAGGTTCCCAAATCTATTACACCTATAACCAGCTTTGGCATTTCTTGTGCTATTTKCTAGGCCATACTGTTATCCAGATGGAGGTGGCCTTGCATCTCAAGTCTTCCTTGTGACTCTAAACCTCTATTTCATCTCCATCCAGTGCTTCTTGAGCAGAATTTTCTCATCTGAGCTCTGACATTTCTATCTCAGCACCAGCAGTTTGGACACCAGAGCGATGACAGGCAGTGCTCACTCCATGCACTCAGGCCATTTCCATCACACCAGTGGCTCCCACAGCTGACTGTGGCCATGGCTGACAATGTGCCTCATCACAGCTGGACTCATGCTCATGGTGCTCCTTTTATCTCATGGTTTGTTGGATTTAGGAAATTAGATAAGATTTAGATTGAGAACAGCAACAAGGAGGGCCCCAATTTCAAGAGCATGGTCGTTTTGTTTGTGCTTGGTGTGCACAGAGTACCTTCAGTTTATTTGCACAAAGTCATTAAAACAGTCCCAAAAGATTTAGTGTAAACAGCTGAAGAAAGCTCTGCTGGTTCKGATACAGTACATAACTGTATCTTATCAGTCTTTACCTTTACAAACTCATAATGCAAACGGAAGGCAAAAAATACATAAAACAGGGAGGTTCTTATATGTTCCAGGGAAGTGTTATTCATTATTCCCTGGGAATGAGGGGTCAGTAGCTATTGTCCACCCTGACCCAGCTAGACTTTCAACCTGTGTTCCTTTGGCACATGTGYGACCTGTGGGGCTACATGGGCTGGCCAGGGACTGCCACACAGGAAAAAGATGGGCTGGCCAGGTCCCAGGGTGGCCAGCAGCCCCTCTGAACCTTCCCTGGGTCAGTGTTCAGTGTCTYAATACTGCTGCAGTCCAAAGGCTGCCCATGGAGGGGGCTGCCAGGCCAAGGAGAAGCCATCACTGCCCTGTCCTGGGCCCTGCACGGGGAGGGCTGTGCCCAAAGCCCCCTCAGAGGGTAAACCATGAGAGGTATCAGCCACAAGTTGTGAAAAGGGAAATTCCCATCAGACAAAGGGAAACACCCTCTCCATAGCAAGAGGGAAAGGCACTGGGACAGGCTGCCCAGGACAGGATGTGAAAGCCTGCTTTGAATACCCCTGGAGATGCTCGGACTGCATGTGGCTCTTCCCCTCTTAAACTTGAGCTCCTTCCCAAGCCACAATCAAGCCCTCACTGTTTTTTCAGGGGTTTTCACATTTAGGTGTTTCCTTCTCATTTTAATTTCCTAACTTATTTGTCTTCCTGACTTGACTTTGCTGTAAGCTTCTCAGCTTCCCTCCTTCCTGTTGTCCCTCCTCAAATCCCCTCACAGCAGCTGCATTCCCAGTAAGGCAGAGCAGCAAAAAAACAGACTGACAAAGTGTTCATCCTCTCCTAAGCTTCCCCTCCTATTCCAAGGGCCAAACAGGCTCAAACTCCTCTTGTGTATAATAAAAGATGAGTTAAAGACAGCCCAGGTGCCAGTGCTGCAGAGCCATCCAGTCAGACCTGTKGAAGGAGAGGAAATGCCTCAGGGAAAACTGAGCCTTTTCCCAAGTAATAATGGGAAACTTAGAGCTCTAAGCAGTTTGGGGATATTGAAGAGGAGAGCTGGGGAGTCTAAGTGCTCTCACATGCCATCTGCACAGCTACAGCCAKAGGCAATCTTCTCTGGTCATCAAGCTGCTGCATCCTGGTAATGTCCTTCCTGTCTTATATCCCAAAGAACTTCTACTCACAGAAATACCTGAAAAGTCTGAAGAGCTGAAAGGACTTCATAGTTCAACCTTGATAAACACCCCCATACCAGCGGAAAAATAGGCTTTCTTTGTGGGGGATTGGTTTACCACATCACTCTGCCCATCACAGAAACGCACAGGAGCAGTCCGCCTGGTTTCCATGCAAGGGTTAAAACACTAAAAAGAACTTTTGAAGAGAAAGACACAGGAGGGATTTTATAATCATTAACAATTTGATTATTGTCACTTTACAGGTTTAGATCTAATATTAAACATGAAAGATTAAAATAAAAAAGCCCAAACCATCTCTCACCAACCTGAATGTTAGACACTGCCAATATCTTTTTCACCTACAATAAGGTGAGAAACAAGCTGACAGTTGTTAAGCATCTGGCAGGCAACAACAATTTCCATGTTTTTCATCCTCACAAAGAGATGTTGTTTTATTGCATTTTCATACCTTGTCTGAAYTGATGAAAATAAAGCCTTACAGCAATACAGCTGGATCAACCAGGAAGGACAGAACACAACAGGGGAAATTCCCTTCTGTAATTTCCAATGATTTAGGACACCTTTGACAAAGCAAAGTGAATGAGAAGGCAGTAACTGAAAGGAGCTTGGCCAAATACGGGGATTTAATCATTGCACAATGATGCATGAATACATAATAAGTCCCAAGCACAAAAGTTCCAGGGTTAACTTGCTCAATGTCTCTGGAGAGGCTGTGATGCAATCCAATGATTCCATGCAATTCAGTGCGTGCATGACTGACAAAAGTATTATCTGAGGAAGAAGCCAATTTTCACTAATTACAGGTTACACTCATAAGTTACAGCTCTAGCAATACCATTGAATGACATTGCTTTAATGCAATTATGGACAAGTCATACGCCTGTTGGGAGGAATTAACTTCACATCTATCGAAAGTGCAGGTAACGAGGAGACCAGCGAACCTGCCATCAACATCCTGGCAGCCTTCCTGGCACTGCTGACCGCTGGCTGCTGCCTACATGTAGAARCTGAGTGTCCAGTATTCTGAGGTCAGATTTCTCTCTTCAAACTTAACTCTACTCTGTCTACAGTCTTTTGGGGTAGCCAACCACCTTTTCACAGAAATGGACCTCTCAAAGGTGATGGCAAAGCCTATAACTGGACAGAAGAACAAAAAAGTAGTCATCACTGGTTTTGTGTGGCAGGGTTTTGGCAGTGGGTGGGCACCAGGGGTGGTTTCTCTGAGAAGCTGCTAGAATCTTCTCCCATGTCTGGCAGAGCCAATGCCAGCTGGCTCCAAGGAAGGACTCAGTGGACAAGGCTGAGCCCATCACCGACATTCACCTCTGGGATAATGYATTTAGGAAGGGAGAAAAAAACCCACAGTGCAACTGCAGCCARAGAGAGAATGAATACATGGAGGAGGTACATACAAAACCACTCTGCAGACCCCCGAGGTCAGTGTGGAAGGAGGGGCAGGAGCTGCTGCAGGTGTCAAACAGAGACTCCCCTGCAGCCCGAGGCRCAGCCCATGGTGAGGGAGCTGTGCCCCTGCAGCCCAGGGGGAGCAGAGATCCACCTGCAGCCCTTGGCAGCCCCCATGGCAGAGCAGGGGGATGAAGGAGGCTGTGACCTCTTGGGGAGCTCACACTGCAGCAGGACGCTGGCAGAAGAGCAGAGCACTGCTGGGGCAGCGAGATAGAGTGAGATGTACTCCCCCTGAGGAGGAAGGAGCAGCAGAGATTACATGTGATGAGATGACCAAAACCCCCATTCCCATACYCCTGAASTGCTGGRGGAAGGAGGCAGAGAAAATCAGGAGTAAAGACCAGGAAGAAGGGASGTCTGGGGGACAGATGTTTTAAGACTTCATCTGACTTGTCATTATCCTATYCTGATTTGATTGCTAATAAATTAATTTCCTCAACAGAGTTGGGGGTCTAACCTCCATTTTGYCTATGTCAGCATTGGTGAGTAATCTCTCCCTGCCCTTATTTTAATCTCTGAGCCTTTCCTTATTTACCTATCCTTTGCCCAGCTGAGGAGTGCAGTGATAGTGCAGCTTTGATGGAYATCTGGCATCCAGCCAGGATCAAGCTGCCTGCCAAACAGCGCTCTAAGTTAGATTATA